CACAAACTATACCTATGTTCATGTATAAAAGAAGAATGAATGTGATATATATATCAGAGGAAAATGTCTCAGATTTTCAATTTGTGTAATCCGATGGACAGTACAGATACGTGATACCAAAAACTCCCTAAGGATAACTGAAGATTAAATAGAACATTTTTATATTCTGCACGAAATCCTTATCAGCATTGTCAGCATTCGCTTGTCTCAACAACTCAGTATATTATAACTGGGTCTAGGAATTTTAATTAACTAAGTCTAGTATGGTGATCTACCTTCAGTTGTTGGCGATCAATAGCCTATTTTTTGTATTGTATTTGTCCAAAAATAGTATTATACTTTTAACGATATCTGCTAGCTAGTTTTAACACATTTTGCGATAATCTAGTTATTTTACTGTCCTTCGTTGACAGGGTTTTATATATTATATGCATCTACTATGAATTTAGAACTAGTTTTAGTCACGATATGGCTGAAATATTGCCGATGTGACTTTAAATCTTAACTCACTCACTCACTAGTTAACGAAGTCTCGCCGATGAACAAACCTACACACGTGAAGAGCATATTGACATTTTACAATCGAAATATATGTTATCCAATCACAGAATACAAATATTATTTACCTTTATATGAGCACTAATCGGTAGTGTTGGTATCATCAACTGACCTTCTTCTTACACAACCTCGTCATATGAGCGAAATATTCCCAAGCACGACGTTAAACCCAATTTCACTTCACCTCACCTTACACAACCAAACACTGAAATGAACACTCACCATCTACCTGCCACACAGCTCCAATCAGCAGCGTGCACCCATTCCCCATGTTCCTTACGGAACCAGAACTACTTCGTTATAAACTACACTGTGTGTACAGGAACCATCGTGTCTGTTCTGACCATGTTATTGGTAAATAAAACAGTCACTGATGGCAGCTAAAGAGCTGGGTACCAACAGTAGGTCAGCTGAGCCTTTCATGCTATGGTAATAAGGATTGTTCAGCAAATGTGGAGGTGCTTCGGTGTATCATAGTGGAGGGTATTGGTTGACGTTTAAACACAGCACCTGAACACGATGAGAGCTTTATACATGTATGATCCATATAAAACCTCCCATCGTGGTAAATGTAGATCAGTATTTAACAGCATTGGGCATCCATGCACACATGCGGAACTGAGGAGTAAAGAAACGTATTCAGAGGATATTTTCTGTGTAATAGAAGGAGCTGTTCTTAAACTTGATTATGTCTATTTAACAAGCACTCATTCCACAACAGTTTGTGAAAGGTAATCTGTAGCTGGGTTATTTTGTGTCAAAATATATTCATTGTTTCCGTGATAAATTTGTAACTTCCTAATTAAATGGTAAATGTTGGCCTAAAAAGGTAAACTTATTGATCTTCACAGATAAGATGGCTCAGACATGCATTTGTAGTTGTGTATTAAGCGAATTTCAGTTTCGAAGTTTACAAGTATTAAATCAAAATTTGTTGAAAATATACAACCGTGGAGAAGTATTCTTTTGAGTGCTGACTAAAACCCAGTACAGTCCATTTTTCATACATGTACAATACAAACAAATATAGACAGAAACTGAAACTCAAACATATGAAAAATCAACTTAGAGGTATTGTAGTTTCTTTTGATCCTCTTTTTTTCAGTGACATGATTCATCCTACTATTTCATTTCCAAAGTTACCTTGAAACGTTCTTTTTTCCTGTTCTGTTCTGTCTTTTTATATGCATAGAAGAAATCAGGTTTTGAGTAAAATCCCAGATGACATGGTTTTTTTCAATATCAACAACCAACTACATAGAACATCGTCAGTCGTTCTATGAAGTAATTACAGTTTTTATCAAACGATATCACATTCATATGACACACCAGTATAACAGCAGTTTGTTTTGTGTTGATTTCTCCATGAATTGTTCGTTTCTAATCATCTCCAGCCAGGCGTATTTATGATCAGACTGTGTTCGTGTTCTTCTCGTACTGGTGAAAAATGAGCTATCTTGTTGGATCAAATAATAATGGTTTCAACTGCCACCATGGAACTGATGAATTTTCATTGTGATGAAATTGAAAATGTTGAAGAGATGGATTCTGTTTGGTATTTTTAGGATTGCAACAAACTGATTTAAGGATATGTACACCTGTAATCAAACCTGTATCTGTCTCAATGGTCTGTCTGTCACAACTGTATAACAAAACACATGAACAAACGTGAGTGACTTTAGTTTTACGCCGTACTCAGCAATATTCCAGCTATATGGCGGCGGTCTGTAAATAATCGAGTCTGGACCGGACAATCCAGTGATCAGTGATCAGCAGCATGAGCATCGATCTGCGCAAGTTGGAACCGATGACATGTGTCAACCAAGTCAGCGAGCCTGACCACCCGATACCTGAATTGTCTTACGACAAGCATGGGTTACTGAAGATCAATATTCTAACCCGGACCTTCACGGGTACATGAGCAAGACATTCAAATCATATACACAATGGTTTATATCGTTTTCAATTCAGATAACTGATCCCCAAGGACATGGTGACCTACCAGAAGAAAATTATATTAATTTATTCTTAAATTACCAGTGTCCATGTTAAATCTGGATTGAGAGTGAGTGAGTGTGATATGTCGCTGTTTCCTCTTCCAGCAATATACACTAGGGACATCAGAAATAGGCTTCACACATAACTACTCATATGAGTAATCAAACCGGGAATTCAGCGTGGCAAACAAACGTTTTACCTACACATTTCCCAATCTGCATTGAGAAAGTCGCCAATGCACAAACATAAATAATACTGATAGCAATGATTATTATTGATAATTGGCCGCTTATAAATCACAGAGCGGTACGTGGAAAGTACATTGCAATATTACGTCCAATTAGCATGAGGTCCAATTGCATGATCAGCTCTGTGGGAATAGGGTGCTGGAAGGTTTTGTAATGGAGTTTTCAGCGATGAGTAATGTGCTTATCGCTTCAGAGTGACACGGTTCCTTCTCATCATTTAACTATTTTTAACTTGTTTCAGCAAGCTTTATTTCGTCATGTGTGTTCCACTGCAAAACAACCATTGACGTTTGCCAATCTTCAAGGGTGTTCTTCAAGAAGATGAGATGGTCGTTCTAGTGTGTTTCCAAGATAGCTTTAAATGCTTCAAAGAAATACAATACTCCTATTTTGCATTGCGTGTTTTCGGAGCATTGTCAAGGGCTGATGTAATAAAATCCTGTTTCAAAGCATGTTACATTGTGTTGGTATATTTTGGGATGCCCTCTGCTTTGAAACCGTCAACACGCAGTTTCGCACAATTGTGTCTCTCATGTGGAACAGCGTGTGGCTAGAGTTAAAAAATGAGTAAGGGAGTTTGGTTTTACGCCGCTTTTAGCAATATTCCAGCAATATCACGGCGGGGGACACCAAAGATGGGCTTCACACATTGTACCCATGTGGGGAATTGAACCCGGGTCTTCGGCGTGACGAGCGAACGCTTTAACCACAAGGTTACCCCACCGCCCCCAGTTAAAGAATGACTTGAAGATCACATTAATACATCCTTGATAACTAAACACGTTTTTTTAGTTTTCTTTTGGAATCTGAACAGATTCCTCAGGAATTCTTTGAGTAATTTCCGACATTTGGTTCTTCAGCTGGCAATTATTTGATGACTCCAATATAGTTTATTGTCACGCTCTGCATTACAGCTGTACTTATGTCTCTCCGAGGTCACTTGTTTTTTTATCGGTTGAGTTTTTTGTGTGTTTTTTTCCTTTGGGTTGTATATTTTTTCACATTCACTTCTAAAACATGCACATTCAAACGAATTCCCGGGAATAGGATATTTGAGAAGGGAAAGTTATATATAATCCTGCAACTGACAGTGGTGTCAATAACAGCTGCGATGTGGTTGAGTAGATCAAGTACATGTAGGTCAGCCAAAAATTGTGAATTTGCTGATGGTACATAACACATACGCTCTACAAAGTTTGAATGTAGACGTGCATGTTATGTAATGCATACTGGTGCTTTATCATTTTTAAATTTAATTTTGCCTATAAATAAATAATGTTAATTCAATTTAAATTTTGAATTCTATAGTTATATGAAAATTTAACATTTAACTTCTCGTCGTTCACTCGTCTGGTGGGTTGGATTTTATGTCTGAATGCGTATATATGAAACAAAATTATGTATTTCAACTCATATGCCCTTTCGGGTCAACTACACACACTTCACTGGAGAAGGTGAGGTGAAAGTGGGTTTAACGTCGTGCTGGAGAATATTTCGCTCATATGACGACATGCATGCGTGTGTGTATGTGCGGCTGCTTGTACTAGCCCAGACTGAAGCTGGTTTTATAGTACTGAGATACCATGCCGCAGTGAAGCATGAATACCCCACTCAGACACATTATACTGACTCTGAGCCGACCAGTCCCTGTTGTACCCATTAATGCCGAGCGCCAGGCAGGAACCAACAAGTACCATATTTTAACGTCTTTTGGTATGACGCGGTCGGGGATCGAACCCGCGACCTTCCACTCTCCGGGCGGACGCTCTAACCACTACACCATGTTCTTCACTCGAGAAATGTCGAGATGAGACTGCAGTACAGCGAAACCGATTACCCTTCTACAGTTTGCATTGTGGATGTAAACTGTAGACAATGATAAACACGAACACAAGAAGTGCAGTACTGTCACTGTCCCACTGAAGCCGCACTCCTGGATGAACTTTATCGAAAATAACAAATTCCAGAAGATGCTTGTAAAATATTTTGCTTAACTGAAAAAAGATGTTATGTGTCACAACAAAGACTTTGATACAAATTGTTTTGGTTTTTATAATCCCTTTCCAAGAATTGTAAATGGTTTGTCCCCAACAAGTTCATGCTCAGTTTAATGAGAGAAAACAAATGTAACATGTTTACATCACATTTAAATTGAAAAGACGCCTACATTACGTACACTTGTGTGCAGGACGGCATACACCTGACGTGGCAATGACGTATGCATCATTGCATGGACGTCTCTTCACTACATCAAAGCCAACATTGACTGTGTCCGTGAGCTCCAACAAGTAAGGTAGCAGGCAAAGCGCCTCCACGAGAAGCCATTTAGCCTCAGATATATCGTCAGAGAATCAGATACACATGCTGCGACTAATAAAGAAGGCAACATGTTAATGAAGCCATCAAAACGTCGACTGGTTTTGATATTAGGTCTTTCCAAATATACCTGCTTATATAGGAGGTATATATTTCTTTTGTTCATTTAACATACATATCTCAGTGGCTTGGTTCTGAACCCTAATGAAAGTCCCGATTGATGTGTGAAACTGATGTCGAGTGATGGGTTCATTTCCTCCACCCAATGGGAGATTGAGGGTCCCCGTTCTACAAAGCTGTTTAAGCCTATGAAATACAAAGTGTCAAATGGGGAAAATGTCTCTTATATGTTTGCACAATGACGTATATTTACTTAAGTTATACTTCTTTAAAATGCATGCTCAAATAGACAGTGCATTCCTGGCGCAGAATCAACTGCAGCAACAAAACCCTCTATTTACTAATGTATCCCTTATCAGTGTTTGACAGACTACCTTAACATACCAATCCACTCCCAGAAAGACGATAGATCTCCCGGAAGGCCTACCTACAAGCTTTTCTCATCCTGGGGGATTTAGGGCGACCAGGGGGTGCAGTGTGGAGTCAATGAGTCCCTTCGTTAAGGTTAACGTTCTCAGATGATACCAAAGAAACTGGTAGCGGTTCCTATTGTTGGTATCTATCCCATTCTGCGAAACGATCTTAGCTACGACTGTACGTCGGTGTTAAAGTATGGGATGTACAATTATCCTAGCGCTAAGATCGCTCCGTGGAATGGCTCCCTGGAAAAGGGGTAGTGGCTTTGCTGAAGTCATATTGAAGTCACAGTGCATTTCAATCAAGGAATGTGTATCTGCTATTTCAAGAGTCACTGGTTTGATCAGATCGGCTTCAGTCAATATCGAACTTGTAAGATGAAAATGAGTTTCATTACTATTCGACATTAACTGCAGAATAGTAAATATCCTACATACAATGAATAGTTCTCCAGTAAATACACGAAACTTGAGTAAATACACATGTCGTAATGGACATTAGTTGTACATATAACTACACTCTGGGCATAAACAGAAGAGGTTACTGACTATTACGACTGTGTCGAAGTAAAACTTCGGTCATCATTTTGCGGTTGTATCGAACCTCGGATAACGGAAGTAATTACGTAGGTCCCTTTAATTCGACACAACAGTGTTTGGCTGTAATGACTTGTTGATCATGAATACCTTATGATAACTAGTGTTGAGATGCCTCACATAACTCAAACACATGACATTCACGTGTAAACGTCTCTGGTGAGCTGAGATAGGATGATTTCCCTGGGTTTAGAAATTGCTGAGCAACGTTTGCATTTGAAAATTTCGAACTAATTATAACAAGACGGAAGGCGTCCTTTGTTAATTGCATGCAAACGGTACTGGGGTTGATTTCTCTTATGTGATTTCTCATGTGTAAATAAGGTTATTTCAGGAGATGTTTCAACGGCACTTGTTCACACTATTTTCTTTACGAAGGAAAAAAAAGTCGTTAAAATGTGAAAAAAACATGTTACTCTTAAATGGCAATGTGTGTACTTTTCATAAAACAACAGCGCAATTATGCGCCCAATTCATTCTTAGAAACGCAATAACAGTAGAGAGGTTCAGTGAAAAAGAATTCAAGTTTGCAATTTTCACACTAATACACACATGTGTGGCTCCTGGCATCAATGGCTTCCTACAGAGGTTTGCTCTAGCATGTGGCAACTGTACAATGATATAATAGCTTGTAAATCATTTTGAAAACTTTCAAAATTTGTATCTACCCAAACACAGGAAGTGATCCCAGTCTCCACTGTTGTTTCGTCTAACGAGTGTATAGATACATGTTTTACAGGTAGTTTCGTTCCGAATCATAACAGAAATACTACAGGTTACAAATTACAAGATACTTCACTTGGATGATTGTATGCTTCGATATACCACGAGACAACCTTGTTCCGATCAGTTCTGTATAACGAGAATTTCATTTATGATTTGGGGATATAACTGCCAGATACTATTTACTGTTGTTTTTGTTTTGCAGAGAAATTGTCTCTGAGACAACCTTTCGCACATTTTTCGATTAATCATCTTGAAATCTGTCTTTATGTACTTTTACGTATACACCAAGATTGACGCATGAATAGCCATTCACGTCGTCTATCCACTACATTCGCCGTCAAAAGTTAAGTCCCTTGGGCGTGCCAGGAAGCTATGAACGTTGTTACCAATCTCGGTTTGCCCAGTGTGTTTTTCCGGGTTTGTCACCACCCGTATGTAGGAGTTTCACGTCTCAGACTTGCATCCATTTCGGTAGTCCCTCAATCGTCAAGCTGACGCGCTGTGATATAATAATGATAATAATACTAATAATAATGATGAGTCCATTTGTAATGCGGAATAACGGAAATATTGTTCAAACCAGCGATAAAGCGATCCCCCAAATTTGAAAAACGAAAAATGATGTTAAACGGTTCAACAGCTTGATGGATGGACTTGAAATGATATTGATAACCACACTGGTGATATGACTGGAACGAGAGAAAGTACACCCGTCTCTCTGAGCCGACAGCGATTTACCAACAGCTGTGACTTCACTTGATACCTGTATATGTTTTTCGGTGGTATCGACTTGTATTGGATCTCGTTTAAGCGTCGGCCATGTAACAACACTAAATATCTCCATGTCCCGTATATAGATTGAAGATTGTTATGGTTTTACTAATAGTGCCTGTTTCCGATCATTCTTAGATTGTTATGGTTTTACTAATAGTGCCTGTTTCCGATCATTCTTAGATTGTTATGATTTTACTAATAGTGCCTGTTTCCGATCATTCTTAGATTGTTATGGTTTTACTAATAGTGCCTGTTTCCGATCATTCTTAGATTGTTATGGTTTTACTAATAGTGCCTGTTTCCGATCATTCTTAGATTGTTATGGTTTTACTAATAGTGCCTGTTAGTAAAACCATAACAATCTTCAATCTATGTACGGGACATGGAGATATTTTATTTCTAAACGGTGCCGAGAAATTTGGGATTTCTTACTTAAACGTTTTTCTTTACTTCTAAGCATCGGAATATCTGTCCTTCTACACAGTAGTCGTAATTCGAAATTGATAGCTTGATTTTCCGGTCCATATCTGGTTCGTTTACAGGCCGCCGTCGCACGGAGGTGTACAGCTGTGCAGCATCAGAAATACTTCCATGTTTAGGCAAAGTTTGTGAATGGTGGGAGCTACCGGTAGGGGAGGGCATGCTTTCCCGTTTTCGCGAACACTTTGTGTCATCACTGTTTTTTCAGCGATCCATTCATATGATTTTCACAGCTATTTTTCCCTTCACACAAAACAGAATTTGTTTCTGAGGATAGTAAAGACTGGGTATTCTTTTGCACTGAGGTTCTATATTAAATATCTATGTCTAAGTCATTGTGTTCTGGACTAGGTCTTTCATTCAGAAACTGCCATGTCATGCCATTGGTAATGTCCTCCTCCAACAAAATGACATTGTTGTAGACACATATATAGAAAAGGATTTACTACTACATGCAGTGAAGCCTTTAAACACTCTACAATCACCCTCGGTATCACGTTCCTCGGGTCCGACAGCTTCATTACACCGCGCACCTGCCTGGGTGTGCACAGGAACCTTCCTTGTATACAGCACGTACATACGTGTAACAACGTGCCGACGTCTGCACGATTTGTATCAAGTGGTACCATATCAGGCAAGCAGGCCGAAATAGCATTTTTACAATAAATGGTTGAAAACTGAAAACAAATAAGGTGTCACATATTTGTATGCCTTCTATCCAAAGTACGCACGCACACACACGCACATACATACATGCATGCCTGCACGAAAGGCACGCACGTACACACACGAACGCACGCGCGCACGCGCGCACGCACGCACGCACGCACGCGCGCACACACACATATACATACATACATACATACATACATACATACATACATACATACATACATACATACATACATACATACATACATACATACATATAATATTAAGCGAAGTGCGCGAGATGAAATTCGGCTATGGCGGCCTATTTGAGTTCGTGATAACAGTAGTTTACTGGCCATGTTAATAATAACATACATGCATACTTTTAACACTGTATGCTTAAAACACATTGCATGTCTGCCCAAAAGGGTATTTGCAAAGGGTTCAAATGAATTTTGACTCGATGCATCATGTATCATGAATTGTATCTAAATTGTTTTTTATGTCATGTGTAAAGATAATCGGATAGAGGTACTCGTGACCAAAGTTGTTTCATTTACCCACAGCTAGAGGTTCGCAGTCATATACGTGACCATGAACATTGTATACAGTTGCCCTTCAACACATGGGAATCGTTGCGGTAACTGGATTCAGCCCAGTCTAAAAATACAGTGTCCATCAAACCTCAACAGTCTACAAAACACTACAATAACATTGAACCCTGTTTACAACTTTCATGCCAATACTTTCTCTGATGGGCCATTCATCACAGATTTCGTTGAATGATATGAATCTAATTGCCACTCCTTCAAACCTGTATCTTGTATGCTTGGGCGCTTATGATAACACATTTGAAATACACTTTCACCAAAATAACAACTCGAAAGTTTAAAGTGATATCATGTCTACGGCACGCTGGGTATTAAAGATAGGTACATTTCTCATTATGTCATAAGAACGTTCTTAAGTATGCTTTTTGAAGTTTATATCTGTGAAAAAACAACGAAAGATGGAAAAAGAAACATACTTGGGGACAGTATATGGGATTGGTGTTTGGAACGTGAAAAGGTTACAAAGATTATCGGCATATTGATTCATATAATAATTCATCATCATATTATTTTTTTTAATGAAATTTATCGTATTACCAACACGGTTTGATTTCATTTACCGAGATCGTAAATCACTCTCCACATTTCATCATATATGATCATCCGGATTTAATGATCGTGACAATCAATAGTGATAAACTTTTCAAAAATTTACGACAGCCAATTTTGTCGCCTCAGCAAAAAGCAACTAAGCATCCTCTAAAAATTAATCATTCGTTATATCAGTAAATAAAGTAAGCAATCGCAATAAAACATTTCTATGGCTGAGCCTCATAAGAGAAACTCCATCAAGAATTTCCTGTGTAGAAAAGTTTGTGTGGTTGCAGCATACAACGAAACGGCATGTTTTATGTTCTACGTGGAATTTTCAGAATCAGTTCGCTTGCGGGAAAATACCATACGGTCTAAGGAACCAATTTGAAATACCTTGGATGATGTCCATCTAGAATCACTTCCTGGAATATTTACGTGGATAATTGGGTGTAACCCATGTATCTTCTTTCCAGGGCTCGACAGCAAGCTTGGGGCGGTGTGATAACATCTCGAGGGCTGAGTGGCGTGAGATATCGACGCTTTCTCCATCTGGCGCTGTATGTCTACTGGAATTAATTCGACGATCCTACTGGGAGATCCCAAAGGCATAAACAATGTTGCGCTCGTTGTATTAGCGTTACTTTGTCGATAACCTTTCGGGGCATTGTATTAAATTTATGCAGAATGCTATGTTAATATTTAGTGTTTTTATGTACTGATATATGCATAAACTATTATTTTGGTATCATGTCATATATTCTATATGTATTATTACCTAATTTCTATACAGTATGAATTTGTGGTGTGTGCATTTGTCTCTGAAACGTTTGGTCAATGTGTTTCGAAAAAATTTGGATCGGATGGTTTGACGTACGTTCAAGCTGACTGTGTTGGTATATATTGTAGGTTTCTTTGATCCAGATGTGTTGAAATGATGTTAATGTTTAGTTGTTTCAGTTTAAGACAGGTTACAGTACTGGACAACATTCATCCAGCCGCTCACACAAACCCGTTCACACGAACACTGTCCATTGTAGAGCAGGCAAATCAATTCACTTCCCTGAAACAGCTGTTGTTATATATAGAAAATGTATGTAGCTGATTTGCTTGTGGTGGCTATTGTCACATATGTGTAATCCACACCAGTAGTCGCGACACCAAGTGAATTTTTATCATTTTTTGTCATATACAAAACGTTCTGCGTGAAATATTACAAAAGCACATAGCATATGATACGTACAGATGTATATTTGCACGTATGAAATCATCGTGAATAAAAACATATCGTCAGTTATTCGCAATGTTCCTGATAAATCGCGTTTTTTTCTGTGTTTTTTTTTTACAAATCGCAATTTGAATGCAGAACACAAACACAGGTTTTGTAGTGTTTGAGTTTGAGCAAATCATTAGTACTAACACATTATTTCAGGCAGATAAATATTCTCTTACCATCTGGGGACTGACAACACAACACTGACAGGTACATGAAAGATCCTTTAACATGCCGTTGAAGGTTCTACATGGGCTGACTTTGATGTCCATTATTGTACAACACGAATCCTTAGCAGTTTCTAATAGCAAATACAAAAGTGAAACAATATAGTTTTCAAGGATTATTACAGTGATCGGTAATTTTGTTGACAGCGTGACAGCCCGTGATAATGAAGTCCCGGCCAATCAGCCTTTCACCCGTGAAAAGCGTTGATTAAACCTTGTCAACTTTCATCAATGTTTTAAAGGAGGACTTCTCCCGACTACGCCCGACAAAGACGGCACTACTGGTCTAGTATGTTCTATGCTAGTCCTTAACGGTACACTTTGCTAACTCCTTATGTTCTGTGTAGAGGTTTAAAGACTCGTGAATATGCGGGTTAAAATTGGTCTTCAGCAACCCATTCTTGTCGTAAGAGGCGACTAACGGGATCGGGTGGTCAGGCTCGCTAACGTGGTTGACAGATGTCACTGTATCCCGATTGGGTAGATCGATGCTCATGCTGTTGATTACCGTTCCGATCGAGACTCGACCATTTACAGACCGCCGCCATATAGCTGAAATACTGCTGAGCGCAGCGTCAGACAACAGCAAACAAAACATAATTTTCATCTCTATTTTGCCTCCTTGAACCCTTTTGAATCTGCGGCTGGCAGTCGAGGGTGTTCTCTTACGTTTGCGTTTCAAACACTGGAGTTGATGTATTATCATTCAACCTTTTCTATTTACAACAAACAACCCTTAAGAGTTAAGCACGGATGATATAAGCCTACCTACATGATGTTAACTGCATCTGTTACATCAAATTAAGCCGACAGAATATGGCGCACTGAATCAAAGAAACATATACAACAGCCAGAGTTGAGAGCAAGCTCCGTATTAACACATGCTCAACAAACCCATGCTGAGTTTTGGCCACAGTGTTGGAACCTTCCCAATAGAATTTGGTCCTAATGAATACCAGGCGTCTATCACCGTTCCTGGGTAGCGTGTTCACGTCGGGAGTAATGCGGTATTTATGCAGGATTAAACATTGATACACGAGACACGTAAATATTTCCCGGAACCGCGTGTAGTCACAGGTAACCTTTCTACCTTGTAACGAATGTGAGATGTTTCTTATTGGGCAGATGTATTCGGTTGGGGTTTTATATGGAACACCGTATCGCGTGGACTCTTGCCGAGTTCGTTAGGGCTTGCTCACGGGTTATGATTTCTATTGACATTCATCTACATGGCTCATGCGAGTTTACCGCACACTTTGAAAACTACTTCTCACAGAGAGGTGTGGTGAAAAGGGGCTGACGTTGAGATCACGTTGAGATCACATAACGCAGTGCACGTGTATGTGTGAAGCTGCTTGTGTTACTCTCTTGTCAAAACTTACACCGGTTTTATGGTGAGCTCGCATCACAGACACCCCACTGAAACACAGAATACCTGTGCTTGTTTTATCCCTTTAATGCCGAATGCCAGGCAGGGTTTCAACGCAAACAACATGCAGGGCAGCATTTGGTAACGTCTGTTGGTGTACAGATATACAGCCAGCGACCTTCTGACTTCCAGAAGAAGTTCCTTCCACAAGACCATGTAGCTGTTTCTGCTAACATGCACGTGGACTTTTACCTTGATCTTTCGTAATATATCATTCACTTTTAGTGATTACAGTGTCACTTTTACTGTTATATTACAGTTGACAATGGTATGGCGACAACTTTTGACGTTCGAACCCGCACGTTTTTTTAACGAAGATTTCAAAGAGCGTCACACTTCTCTAATATGTGTTTGACCAAGGTGAACATATTTAAAGCCTCGGTAAAACTTTCAAAACCTTTTTATGGGAGACATGTTGGGAACATTTCCAAATCTGACTGACCCTGCATTAAGGAACAGTGAACAAATCGTTCGGATTCGGAGGTTTCTGCTGTTGAAGCATGCTAGCAGGGTCTACTTATAACAACGTCATGTACATTGCGATTTTGAATGTACCCTGAAAGGAAATTAATAAGTAGGTCTATAGTTTACGTGGACGTGGACTTGTATAATTACTCCAGTCTATGATTATGACGTGTCATTAAATTATTCGCTTGGTTTGAGGATTTTATTTTTCATTAATGTGAGTAACTGGGCTGAGCGATTAGTGTGAGCAATGGGTATGAAAAAGGCCATTCGTATTTTTCTCTCCCAGTGTTTTAATTGATCTCTTCTCTCCCAACTAGACGTTATAAACACATGACATTAAGGGTTATAAGGGACAGACAACTAAGTTATAAGCGTGTTGGTATTATTGAATACAATCTTTTCCTTATCTGACAAATTCACTGACTGACTGACTGAGTTTGGTTTTACGCCGCTTTCAGCAATATTCCAGCAACATCCCGGCGGGGGACACCAGAAATGGGCTTCACACATTGTACCCATGTGGGGATTCGAACCCGGGTCTTCGGCGTGACGAGCCAACGCCTGACAAATTCAAAAGATCTCATAAACAACATTACAATAATTATGACAGTCAGGTATTTATGTAGTGTAGACTATTATAATTACCATATTTCCGGCTGAGATTATACTTGTGTATGTCATAAATATTCGTGTTAATTAACCAGTGCATATCCGGTAACACTTCTGTGTTCTGACATACGTAGATATTAAAACAGCACTGAAGGCAGTCTGTCAAATATACTAATGATACAAATAATATGTCTGTGTATTCCCATTAGACTAACGCTTAGTCCCAGAATATATAGAACTTTGACAGTAACAAATAAACCATTTAAATTGAAAAAGACCCCCAGGGAGATGGGAGATGCAGGTGCCTGGGGAAATCTAGACTTGCTTCATTGCTGGTTTAGCGTTGCAGGGAGGGCTAGGCATTAGGCAAAATAATGTGGTTCAGTGACTGTGAGACAGAATATATCCCCATGTGCTTTAGCTGATGTTATTTCCTGAACCAGTTGGAACATTTTCAAGTCAGTTTATTTAGATATAATTCGATATCTGTCAGAACATGTGGTATTCGGGTCAATGTTTTGAATCTATAAAATATGACACAGCGAATGAGTGATAAGACAAAAATGAGCGAATTAGTGTTAAAAGCAGTTTGTTGAAGCATGTTACTGAGTCATATCACAGCGATCTGTTTAAAGGAAGAAAACATAGACGTTTACCATTTGGTGATACAATTAAGATGTGGTGCTGAGAAACCACGGGTCATAAACAGAATGGATGTTTGGTTCGAGCCGGCAGCCTCTGGCAGTGTGGGCTACCAGGTCAAACGAAAAATCCTCAAAAACCTTTCGATTGCTTAACAGTTTTTTAGATCAAAGAGCTAATCTAAAGGTTGCCAGATTTCCATCTTCAAGGGCTTTTAAGACAAATAGTGCCTTCAACTGGCCCAATTGTTCGTCCATGTCAAATAGCATTCAATTTGGGAAAAGTAAGTTCAGTAAGATATGGCTGAACATACATACGTTTATCACTCTTACTGTTACTTTTCAACGACGTGTATCGCTTCTTCGTAATTATAAATGTCTTCCTGGACATCAAAGAGAAACTGCACACATGTCAGTTAACAGTAAAGTATGGCTTGTATACATCACACATTCCACAACTGCACGTCCGCTTCTTATCCTCAAACGCGTTAAAGACATACTGACTATTAAACACGTGTGCCATCATGTAGCTTAACCTCTGTCGAATACATCACGTGTTTCACACAGATTCCTGATCTCACGCATGGTTGTGGTCGCCACTCACTCAGTTAATCAACCAGTCAACCAATCAACGAATCAATCAGCGAATCATGTGATATCTTTACGTATCTTTTTTGTAGAAGTCATACTGACTCTAATCTCAGTATCTTGTTAAGATAAGTAACGTTAGCCATAATGTTCTGATAATGATGTCTACATATTATCGGCAGTATGCTTTGTAATACCGGGGACGGTGGGGTAGCCTAGTGGTCAAAGCGTTGGCTCGTCACGCCGAAGACCCGGGTTCGAATCCCCACAGGGGTACATTGTGTGAAGCCCATTTCTGGTGTCCCCCGCCGTGATGTTGCTGGAATATTGCTAAAAGCGGCGTAAAACCAAACTCAGTCAGTTTTTAATACCGAGAGAGTGTGGTGGTTGTAGAACCTTAGAAATACAATACAATATTCAAAACTGTCTCTATCAAGTTGCGAATGATAACTGTATACAACAGGAAAAAGATAAAATGGCAAGCCGTTTTCACATTTATTAAAACATTACTGATATCTAAAAATGTTTTAAAGATATCTTGAATGAAAATAGAGATATCTTGAACTGAAATGGAGATATCTTAAATGAATACTAAGATATCTCCAAAAGAGATAATTATAGATATCTGCAATAAAATGTATGATATCGCGAAATACACACGCAGTTTCAGGTTAAAGTCCCACTAATACAGTTTTACAGACTACCGGTCTTGCCGATGAACGGAAACTAAACATGTATATTGGGGTTATAAACGTGAGTCGGGCAGTGATTTGCACCTTAACATGTAAAGAATGCGTCGATTTAAGAGCACAACTGAAACAACTAGGACCACACTAGGGAACTGCGTTTATCTGCCACATGACCGTACTGACATCAGATAGCACAGTGACATTATAATGATGATGGATTTAAACGCAAAGAAGCTGCTCAGGTATAGATAAAACCTTCTGTAAACGGTTTAGAAAATGATATACTGATGATAACAACAGACGCAACTAGTAATGATCATGATGTGATTCCGACTTGGTCAATTTGT